GGCCCTTTATACTTATCATTGTGGTGCACGTGTGTRTATGTTTATTATCTATCACTCCCATTCAACCCCAAATATCTGGGGAGGGGGAACTATTTTGGTCTTATTCATTGGCACAGAGTTGGCATGTACTAAACAATTAATATGTGTTGGTAGTTACTATTATCTCCATCTTACAGAGGCGAAAAATAAGGTTTAGAGAGATTGAAGAATGAGACTATGATCTCCTGGCTAATTAGAGGCTGAGCTGGGCTGACAACTCATTCTTTGGATTCTGATGCTAGCTTTGTTACTCCACTGTATAAATTAATCTCACAGTGAGGAGTAGAAGGGAAAGTATCCATATTTTCCTAAAACACAGCCACATGTTATCACTGAAGCTTGGCAGCAAAACTTTTGTTTCTCAAATATTGAGCTTTCTCCTTTGTTTCTTTTCTCCCCCCACCTGTTTTCTTTTCTTTTTTTTTATTTTTTATTTTTTTTTCCTGTATTGAGGCTTTTTAAATGATCTGTAAACAGGGCAAAGATGTAGTTTCTATTTAATAGTCTTTTGATCAAGAGGAGACKACACAACATAGGATAGGCCACTTTCCAATGGACCCCTCTCCACAAGGAGTATTGGGAAGAGGTAGAAATTGGCCACAGTGAGGATTTCAGCTATCTACTGCCAGAAATGGGCCTGTCTTGGAGGAGGAAAGCAACTGAGATGGCAGTGCCCCTATCCATGGCAGGGTTTCCTGGACTAAAGGTGCAAGCTCAAAGAGTCAGCCTGGCTGGGAAGCATGGGAGAGAGGGGCAGCTCTGAGAAGGTTTTGCTACAGGGCTGAAAGCCCTTCCCCTTTTAAAAATTAATAATTGAGCAAAGAGCATTCATTCAGAACTTCTCTTTCTCCATCTGTGATAGCTTCAAACATTTCTTTTCATAAACACGACTTTAGAGAAATTACTTGTTACTGATTTATTCTATAGGCATGTCTTACTTTAAAAAAAAACACCCCTCATTGTTTATGTGCAGAATTTAATGTTTCAAAGTATATACATTTTTAAAAGTGGAGAAATCCTTAAATTCCACTTTAAAAGACTGCTTTAGGCTTGTGGGTAGATATAGGTCAGTGTTAGAGCCTAGCAGGCATGAGGACTTGATTTGGGTTCAGTTCCCAGCACGACCCCCACCAAAGGAAAAAAAAAAAAAGAAAGAAAAGAAAAAGAATGCTTTAGCTATAAAAAGACTCAACCTAGAATTTCTTTAAATAATGAAATCTCCCCTGGTACATTAAAGCCAATTATTCAATTCAATGTGCATGGCTCCCTGAACACACAAAGAGGGGATCCCGCCTATAATTCATTGCCTGGCAGCAGTCTGTGTTTCTCATGTTTCTCGGTCTTAATGTAGAAGTTTTCACTCTTGCAAACTTGTAATGAATTTGCTGGATTACTGTCCTTGCTGTAACATCAGCATGTAATAAGACTTCTCTGCTGAATGACTGTGTTAGAGATATTGCATTCCAACCACCAGGAAATACAGATTTCCCCCTTGTTGGCTTTCTTCCTTTCAAAAAGGTTGCTTAAAGTGGTGCTTAAAAGATAATTCTAGCTTTCTAAATTTAGGATGTGGAAAAAGTCCAAAATCAGAATATTCCATGGATAAATGAGCAAGAAATGTTAACATGTGCATCAAGGGGAGAATATCTTACACTCCGATGTTTTTTCTCTTTCTCTCCCTCTGTCTCTTTTTCTACCTTTAATACACAACATATAATTTAGCAAGATTAAATGTTAACTAAGAAACTGAAGAACTCTTTATCACCATTACTGCATTTTAAATATAAAATGAGGGGCTGGGAATATGGCTCAGTGGTAGAGTACATGCTTAGCATGTGCAAGGCCCTGGACTCAATCCCAGCACCACCCCACACACAATTCTTATAAATAATAAAGTGATTTCATTATCTCAGTTATTCCTAAAACCACCTTGAAGTCAGAGCTACTCTTCAAAATTAATCAGCAAGTTATGTGCTTATCTTTATAGTCAAGGCAGATTTCTGGTCATCCTTAGTTCAATTACTTAAAGAGAAGCTACCTATAAAAAATAATGTAAGAAGTGTATCAGCATTTGAAGCTTATTTTGTGTGTGTTTGTTGCACTGTAGACTGAACCTAGGAGCTACACTAACTACATCTTCATCCCTTTTTAATTTTAATTTTTTAATTTTGAGACATGGTCTTGCTAAGTTGTTGAAGTTGGCCTTGAATGTGGCATCCTCCTACCTCAGCCTCTGGAATTGCTGAGATTACAGGCATGCTTCAAAAGCAATTTTGAGGGAAGAAAACAATTTCTAGGATGTTTGAGTTTACAATAGACTCAAGCTTACAACATAGTGCTGAAAACCACTTTCTTTTTTGTGTGTCTTTTATGCCTTCAGATTTTAAATATTCTAATATCTTCCTCATGGTGTGTGTGTGTGTGTGTGTGTGTGTGTGTGTGCAGGAGATCAAACCATGACCTCTCATGTTAAATGAGTACACCAACACTGAGTACACCCCAGCCCTTCATGGGGATTTTTCTCTCTCTCTGTTCTTCTGCAGACATAAAATCTGAATCAAATAACCCAACAGAGAGTTAAACATTGAAGGTTGMAGAGAGAATGAGTCCCTGGCACCCTGTAATCATGCTATTACATTTTGGATTTATTTTTATTTTTTTCTGACTTATGCCCAACCCAATATCCACTAAACRCATTAGTTTTTCCTTCATATGCGCTTGGATGTAATGGCCTTCCTCACACTGTATTATTTATTTATTTGGTACAGGAGATTGAACTCAGGGWCACTTTACCACTAAGCTACAGGGTCTTGCTAAGTTGCTAAGCCTGGCCTGGCACTTGGAATCCTCCTCCCTCAGCTTACAGTCAAGTTGCTGGAATTATAGGTGTGTGCCGCTGCTGCCGGCTTGCATCATTTCTTTTTTCTTTTACACAATATCTTTATTCATTTATTTTTATGTGGTGCTAAAGATGGAACAGGGCCTCACACGTGCTAGGTGAGTGCTCTACTGCTGAGCCCCAGCCCCAGCCCCAGCCCCAGCCCCATTGCATCATTTCTTTAATGCATCAAAGTCACCACAAATTCTATTCGTTTGTCTTTTAAGGATATCAGCTGCTCTCTTGAGACACAAAGGACATATAAAATAATAAACATTTAGAAACAGAGCTGGTCCATGTTGGGGCTTATACCATCATTTGGGTGTAAACACTTAGTCATTTGTAATTTTTTGGAACCACTCATGACAATTGTAGCCCATCAGGAGGATTTTGCAATGGCTGTGGTGCCCTCCGCAATACCAGAGAATAGGCTGGGATGTAGGAAGAAAAAAAAAAATAAAGAAAGGAAGAGGGAGCTTAAAAGAATTGGAAAGAAGGGAGACAGATAAGAAAAATGTGTTGCTGAATATTGCCAATGAAGAGGTGGAGGCTGGGAAGAATTCTTGGCAGCCATCAAGGGCATCTTCTAGTGCAGTTCTYTGTTGCCTCTTCCTCTACAGAGCACAGGTCCTGGTTTCTTGTTGAGATCATCACATTAGAAAAGAACCACAAGCCATACCACAGCACAAAGGTGACATCAGTTGTTTTCCTGGTCTACATAGCAGCTTATCAGAAAGGAATTAAGCAAGCATGCTTCTTTTTTTCTTTTGTTTTTAATGGGATCAATAGGAATCCAATGCTATTGTCTGGGGCATAGTAAACAGTTTAATTTTTTTTTTTTCATGAATTTGTACAAGCTTACATAACTTGACCAGTTTGTCCTTGTCTCCAATGTGAGCACATCTCTTCCTCAAAATCTGCTTATATGGCTTCAATAGAAGATTAACCTGTCAGTGAGATGGTCAGAGACCGGTAAGATGATATCCCGATGCCCAAAGACAGAAGAGGGTGGTGGAATGGAAGTCGGAGGTCGGGTCTTATTGTGGGGAAAACATGACAAACTGGGGAGGCYCCAGTAAAAATGGGAAAAGCCCTAGTGGATGTGGGGGTCAGGAGTAACAATTCAAGGGAGATGGGTGAAGGGGAGGGCTCAATGATTCAAGGTACCCAGTGTCCCATTGTATCACAGTCAGAGATTTTCAAATTTTGCCCAACTGGAGCTCTCAATTTCTCAACCCTACTCCAATGACCTAGTCTATAAATAGTAGTCCCCTATAAAGAAGTCATTCACAGTGAAGTTAAGAAAACAAACAAAACCAAATACCACCCATGGCTCTACATAATGGCAGACCGCACAGATTATTTGAGAAGTACCTGGTGTTTGTATCTTCCCTGACTTCATTAGCCCAGGAAGTTACTAGTACCTGGTATTTTCTTGAGTTTCTCCATGGAGAGCCCATCTGCTTCCAAAGCTCTGTGGAGCAGTGAAGCTGACATTGAATTTAGATACGCCCTACCCGGGTTTACGCTTGGCCTTGACTCTTATTATTTGTGGAATTACAGATGAACCATTTGGTTTCTCAGCATTCTTTCCCTCATCCAGAATCAGAGGAGTTTACCCAGAAAGGACAGCAGAATCCTTCATGGGGGAAGAAACTTGGTAGGTTATTGCCTATTATCTTTTGATTGATCACATGGTGTTTGCCACAGGTAAGACCAGTCAAGTTGGAATCCTGGTATATGTACAATTATTACTCAATTTCCTTCAATGGTTTACCCTTGGAAACCTTGTTCAGGGTGCTGATTCTTCATTAATTTGAATAGGACCAARTATGTTGTAGTTACCTATGAAGTTGCCTTAGTGCACAGAGGAGAAAATAATAGACTTAGCTCCCAAATGGTGCTAGATATAAATCTTAGAAAGCTCACCATTTCATGTCCCAGGTTCCTGGCCCCACACAGGACTTTAGCTGACTGCATCCTTCCCTGCCTTAACTTCATACAAAATTGTTTGCATTCCCTGGTCCAAAATAGGCTGGTTAATTCTTGCATGACTTTGGCCATACTACTGYTTTTAGGAGGCTCAGGCATCATATTGCAGCAGGCAACCCCCTGCTGTTCTTCCACAGCAGTTGAGCACAGGGTTCTGGGTCAGACAAGCATGTTCACCCCAAACACATTACTCACACTGCTTCCCCAAGGCAAGGTCTGTTCTGCCTCCCAGTGCCTGGGATAGCATGTGTTCTGAAAACACTGAACCGAGTGACAAGACCACACGGATGACTATGAATCTGGGAGTTAGGATTTAACCTGTGCCCAGCTGCTGCCGATTCATAGCCAATCAGCTCAACAATATCCACTTTTCCCTTCTGTGTGGACATACTGCTCTGACTGAACAGAAGCAACCCAGGCATTTTCCCCCTGTCAGGTTGACCTCAGGATATCGATTAGAAAATCTCTGAAACATACATTTTAGTGCTAACGTCTTCATCTTGAGTTATGCTAATACTGATGAACTCAACACTGATGAATGGTCTTGCAGAGGAAGGGGAGATGAGGAGGTAGGAAAGCTGAAGCCGACCTGCTGACCACCAGTTCTCCCTCCTGATCCCAGCAGCATATCCACCATGAGGCCGTGGCAGGAGCTGAGGGAAGGCTCTTGTTTTRCTTCAGTCATGCATTTTATTCCCTACACTAAAGCAAGCTGAAAGTGCTAAAGGAGTCCATGTCCCTGTGAGGAAAGATCAGTCCCTACAGGGTTGGTGGCAGCAAGTAGCAGGTGAAGGTTTTGAGGAAGAGCAGGGTCACCCCTGAGTGCGAGGAGGAAGAGGGGACAAGAATAAGTACACCCTCTGCAAGGGCAGAAGACCCCACTAAGAGAGGTGGTAAGGACTCCACTAGGACTGCCAGTCCCCTCTGGACTATCCAATGTAAACGCAAAGTGTGCCCATACCCTCTATCACCCAAGCACAGGGGTGCCCTGGGGGCCTGWCACTTTCTGTATGGGCCTCTCTTGCACAGATGACTCACCAGCACACGATATTTTGCTCAACAAATACTTAGCCTGTGCTCAGCACCCTGGGCTTTCTCCCTGGATGGCCATGGGCATGGCCCTTTTTCACTGAGCAGAGGGCAGCCAGGGCCCACATGCTTCATGCTTAAGATTGCATGGAAAATTGTTCCTGACATTCTCAGTCCACCTGACACACCCTGTTGATTCAGAACCCTCTCGGGACATGGTGCAAGGTCTGAGTGCCCACAGTACCATAAAGCATTACCATGCCATTCTTCTAGATGTCATTTAAGAGGCTAGGTTGTTCCAGCGAGTGGGTGTGTGTGTGTGTGTCTGATTTTGGTAGGAGGAAGGAGGAGGAGGCAGTGAGAGAGCCCCACAGGTTCAGGCTATAACCACAGGCAAAGGTCAGTTAGAGAAACTTGTTATTAAATTTAATTTTYTTTAAATACATAACTTTTTCCCACCCGAGCCCACTCTAGGGAGGGGCAGAAGCCTTTCCCACCCCTGAATTCTGGGGATCCCATAGGTAAAGCCTGAGATGGTGAGGATGAAGTATAAAAATACTATTTACAAAGGGGAAGCAGGTATCTTGCTGCTGTCACCTCCAGATGCCCCTGTCCCCCGACCCCTTTTGTTCCTTTAGAAAAAAACCTCTGAGAATTAGGCTGTGTGTAGGACAAACCCTTCCTCTAGAGAGGCTCTCACACCACAACAAGAAATAGGAAGCTCTGAGATTAACTGAGGAAGAGGGAGAGAACAGAGAGATAGCACCTCAGATCCTAGTAGGGGAAGGGATCAGGGCCCCTGTCCCCTGYAGTCAGCCAGCCAGCCAGCCAGCCTTTATTTCAATAGGTTCCATGTAAACATTGACTTATTCCTTTTATAGGTCCCTGCTCTCCCCTGTTGCATGCAGAGCCTCCCTCACCTCCAGTGGAAGTACTTGGTTCTTGGATCTTTCCTTCCTTCCCTTCTAACCTCCTATGAGGAGCCRGGATGAGACACTGGAGGTGTGACAAGAGTCAGCTCATTGCCCTTAAGTCAGGGAAGCTTGCCTTCCATGGAGAACCTTCGAATAGGGTGCTCCAGGTTCACAGCCAGATAAAGATGGGTTTCTTCCCAGAGCATGGACAAGGTCAGTAGATAGTCCAGTGCCAGGATACAGAGGTCTGGCTGGTTGAGGCCATCAGTACTGAGTAAGAGGGAAGGAGGCTTCAGGAGGCAGAGAGGTGAAGCAAGGCTGGCACTGGTCTCGCCCTGCTGGGGGAAGACCAGCCCCGTGCCGTTCTCCCTTTTGGGTAAGCGTGACCATCATCATCCAAGACTTGTTCCTAGTAGCTGTGCAAGAGAGACCAGGTGCCCACATGGTGAGAAGTCTTCTCCAGGTCTTGGTGCAGAGGCAGCCTCACACCAGCTCATCCAGTAGGATCCCGATGCTCTGAGTGGCCTCTGCAGGCCCAGCGATGGGCTTGTTGCACATGGGGCAGACACAGCGCACTTCCAGCCATTTCACTAGGCACCTGTGAACGACAGAATTGGTGTTTCTAAGAAGATCCCTCAGACGGCTCCAGCTGCTTCTCAGTCCCACTGCTTCCTGAAGAACGTCCCTGTGCCTGCCACAGCCTCACACTTCTGGCTTGTCTGGTGTTCAGACCAGACCCGATCTAGGGCATCATTGGTAAGGGGAAGATGGGAGGTGGCAAGGAGTGAAAGGTTCTAGAAAATGCTCCCTGATTATTTCTTCTCCACAGGGCAACCCTGGCCATAACCCCACATACTTGCGGTGAAAGGCATGTTGGCATGGGAGCACGCCCAACTCGTCCTTCCCCTTGAAGTCTTCCAGACAGACTGCACAGGTCTGCTGCAGGGAGAAAGGGGGCGTGTGAGAGGAGATTGCAGATGCACTTCACTCACCCATGCTGGAGGTCCTTGTCTCATCCACAGCCAAATAAACTCCATTCTAACCCTCTGTCAACCCTTTATTCTCTTTTGTCAACCAGAGAACAAATTTGTTCTCACCGAGAAACGAGCCCTATTTTATAAAACTCTATTGACAGAATTGGTAGCCATTAACCCCATGGGGCAGCTTCAATTGAAACTAATCAAAATAAGACAAAATTACAATTTAGTTTATCAGTTGCAGTGGCCACTTTTTCTTTTTTGATTATTACAAAAGTTTATTTAACCCAGAGTTTAATATGAATAATGTGGGTTGAAGGCATATATCAGTGGTAGAGTACTTGTTTAGCATGTGCAAGGCCCTAAGTTTGATCCCAGAAACACGAAACAAACAAAAAAAGAAAAAATATATAAGATAAGCTAAAACAGGTCTTTTGGAGAAGGGACATGGATTTCTCTGCTGGCCAGACATTATTTATACTCATGCCAAGGTTTCTAAGTATGATACTATTTCCTCATGTTAGCATGATTCCAATATTGTTCCACTGCCTCTAGTTGCCCTCTCTACACAGTTATCTAGCACATGAGTTATAGAGACCAAATCCTTGCAGCATTCCTTGAACATGTCTGCCACCATGTATAGATTTTTTCAACTCAGGAAAGTGTGGTCTACTTGGCTGACTCAAAGCTGCTTTGAAACAGAATTTGCTTCCTCCCTCGTGTTCCACCAGTAGACAGCCCCATTTCAAATGCTTAGTAGCTACATGTGGCTAATGATTCCCATACTGGACAGGACAGATGTAAAACATTTCTGTTATCATGTAAGTTTCCACTGGACAGTGATGTACTGGGAGAACAGTTTTAAATCCTCTCTAGCATATACATGGAACAAGGAGGATAAGAGTAAAAGTAAATAAAGGGATGGGGTGGATGTGGTCAGTTACATTCTTTTGAGACTTTAAGTCCTTAGGTATCAGCCTCCATGATCTCAGTTGAATTATTCTTTTAAGAAGGCTTAGAAACCACTTGAACTTTCCTGGGTGTCAYAGCAGACATCAAAAATAAGAACGCAGTGAGGCCATGTCTGGGCAGTCTCGTGTTTGGTGATGCTGGCAAACAACCACAGACACTCTCTGGTTAGGAGTGTCTGTGGTTACCGAGGAAAGCCTTGGACAATGGACTAAGTGACCTCACAGGCCTAGGTGGGAAAGGATCAGGAAATGGCCAATTAAGGGTCAGATTTGAGGGGACCCAAAGAATTGGTATGTGTGCGGGGATCCGGGAAATGGAGGAGAAACAGGGAGGAGCCCCTGGGATGGATTCACAGATCAGAGGTTAGGACAGGGTCTATGCACTGGTCAACGTGGGAAAGTTAGCGGAAATTCTCCTATGGTGTGAAGCACTGTGATCAGCCTTCCCTTGAAGATTATGCATGGCAGGATTCCTGGGGCCATGGTGTCGCTACTAACCCAGATCCTTGTGTGAATCCCCCCTGCTCTTTGTTCCCCCTGCACAAGCTGGTTCTAGCCATCATGAATTCCATATATGGATTACCTGCTGGCATGAGTCCCTTTTATTTGGCCAAAGCAAATACAAAAACAGAGACTAAAAACAGTCTCAAAAAGATCCTGGCAGAGAGCTGGAGAAAGGTGCTGTCTGCTTTACCTGCTGGGGCCCTCCTGCATACCGTCCAGGGACACTTACCCCATAGAGCTGCAACTTCTTGGCATCACCTTTAAGCACCACCTGGAAGAAGATGGGGAGACATGTCTGAAGGAACCAGCACAGGGCCTGCAGGATGGACCAGTGAAGGGAGTCCCCTGTCTTTCGTGGGGTGTCTCCCTGATTCCCATGGAGGAGGAGGGCTCTGGACAGTCTGGGGCAAGCCTGACTTGAGGACAGAGAAAGGAGCTAGTCTCAGGGAGGCCAAGAGCTGAGGCCAAGGGGGGGTACAGACGAGGGGAACTTGGGCTCTTGCCTTCCGGAGGAGGAAATGGCAGGCAGAGAGGTGGCATTTACCTCCTTATAGCCATATCGTTCGCTCTGTGCCTGGTTCCGGAGTTTGCTGGGGGAAAAAGAAAAAGGTAAGAGAGATGATGACTATGTTTTTGCATAAACAGAGCAATCACAGCTGGCCAGGCTGGCTGGCTACTTGGGCATTCTTCTGGGAGTGAGGAGAGATGCTTGTCCCCTAGATGCCAGGGAATATGGTTCTGACTCATCCAGGCCACCCAGAATTGACCAAAGACTAAACCTCTTATTGATTCTCAGCAGATCCCATACATAGCTTGGGAGACTCTCAGGCAGAACACCCCACATAGCTCAATGACTCTCCCCGCCCTTTCCCAGCAGGTAAATTCCTCAGATATCCAGACAATACAGATCAACAATGTGCTTTCCAACTATAGAAAAGGAGTTAGATATTCTTAGAAGGKATCCTTCTATCAAGCCAGGGTAGCGGGATAATAAGCCTCTTTTGACCTAGGGGAATTTTCCACTTGGAGAACACAAGTATTCTAGAACACACTCTTCCCTTCAGTGCCAAACAAACAGTCCAGACGATGCCTTCTTTGTTTCTGCCTCTTCAYTGTAAGCTGGTGGCCTGCAAACAGCCTACCTCGCAGTAGCCAAAACACGGCATGTTGTTACTAATAGCAATGGCATAATAGTTAATGGGGTATGTGCTACATGTTGCTCGGACACTGACCCTAGTCAAATTTGTTCTGAGTTCAAGTAACTCTAAAAGGGGAGAAACTTTGCTTTTTGTACATGAGGAAAATGAAACTCTAAGAAGCTAAGAAATTTGCCCAAACTTCACAGAGCTACTTGGTAGCTGTGTCCGGTTGAATCAAACTCCAAGTGATTATAGAGCTCATTCGCTTTACTACAGAATATGACCTGTCCCCCTCAATCAGGATGTATACATCATAGTCCTGAGAATGTGATATGATCTGGGGACACACCTTTACATCTCATGAAGTCTAAGGCTCTCTGAATGGCTTACTATGCAAATGGCTGGGACCATAATTATGCACAAATTTGTGCTGCTTTACTTTTTGCGGGGAAATCTGACTCTGACAGCAGGTACCTTTAGATGGCCCCCTATGCCTGGGCTATAACAGAACCTGACGGAGTGTTCGTCAGTGCGCGCTCTCTCTCTCTCTCTCTCATTATTATTTTTTTATTTTTTAGTGCTGGAGATTGAGCCTTGCCACATGCTAAGCACATGTGCTTGACCACTGGGCTATGCTCCCAGCCCTCACTGATTATTTCTAACCCTGGCCTGGGTTACTGGAAGCAAACATCAGAAACTCACCAAATTATAGTAGGGACGATCTAAGGGGCAAATTTACCTCACTCCCATTTTTTTACAGAACCCAGAAGTTAAGAATAGGTTTTATACTTCAATGCATGAAAATAGAAGTAAAGGGAGTTGAGGGTATAGCTCAGTGGTAGAGTGCTTGCCTAGCATGTACAAGATCCTACGCTTAATGCCAGTTCCAGAAAAAAAGAATAAAGAAGAAGAATATCTCATAAAAACAAACTAATAACAAAAAAAATAATTTTATCTCTTGACATAAAAGATACATGAAATCCAGGGTTGGGGATGTGGCTCAGTGGTAGAGCACTTGTCTAGCACATGTGAGGCCCTGGATTCCATCCCTAGTGCCTCAGAAAAACATAGACATGAAATTCAAATTTCAGTGTCCAATTAAATGGTACCAGCACACTGACATGCTCAGTTCATTTATCGGCTGCTTTGGCATGTAAACAGAGGAGCTGGGTGGTTACGATAGAAACCTCATGACCCACAAAGCCTAAAATATCTACTATCTGATTTTGTATAGAAAAAAGATTGCTGACCCAAGTTAGAAACAGAGAACCATGAATCATGGAGAGGTTCAGTCACAGCAGGTGTGAAGATGCCCCACAGGCTTTAGAGAGCCCCAGACTGCTGGCAGGGTGGTGGAGAGAAGGTGCAGGCGGAGCTATAACTTAGACACAGTGTGGGTCAGATAAGAAGGGGCTGCCAGCCTCTTCCATCCTTCCTGACAGGAAATCACATGACCCAGCAAGGTCATATGTTCCTGGAGCCTCTGGAGATGTCAAGTCCAAGTGGACTCCTGCCAAGGGCTTGGGGCTGGGGCAGCCTGCCCCTTCTTTCCACTATGGTCCAGAAAATATATTCATACATAATGCATATGTCTCTCTTCTCAACTTCCACATCAGAGGGGCAGAGAAGATGCATCCAAAGCTTAAGTGAGCTAATCTGTTATCTGACAGTGAGTCAAGTGGAGGAAAGGTGAATGTGTTCTCATCATCAGGGAGCTCAAAGCCAGTCTGAGGGAGAAGGACACTGTTGTTCCATTACCAGCCATGTGCAGAGCACATAAGGAAGAGCCTGTGAAGAGCCTGTGTGATAGTTTTGTTTTTGTTTTGCTTTGTTGTGCTAAGGATCAAACCAGGAGCCTCCAATGTGCTGGACAAGCATTCTACTGATAAACTACAAAACTAGCCCCAAGCCTGTGTTTTTAAYTTTCTGGGGGAAAGAGGGATGCCATGCCTCTTTTGAAACTCAGATACCTCCCCTGCCATCCGACTGAACCTTGGTGCCTAAGGTATCCTCCCTTTCCCTCACCTGTCTCATTTAGCTGGTTCTCTGTGATGATCATACTCAGAGATCTTCGAGAACCCTCAGAACGGAGAAGGGCTTCACAGTTACACCTTTATCTTGTATAAAGATTTCAGCTCAGGAAGGATTAGATTGTGATGAAACCGGGGCTCCAAAAGGTTGCAAGGAAAACAGAGCAAAAAGAAAAGAGCTCGGGCCATCCCAGCTGGGGATGGACAGGTGGCCTTCTCAGCTGTTGGCTGAGCAAGCAACTAAAAATACCCGGGATTCAATAAGACCATCCCTAGCTACTGCCAGCAGGCTCTCCTTTCCTCTCTTCCCTTTTAGAAGAAACAATGAAGCCAGGTCCTGAAAATAATTGTTCCTTTCCTGCCCATTTGTACTTCATTGGCCCCTCCATCCTGTGCAGGGCAGAGGTCAGCACTGAGGGGGAAAGGGAGCACTGGGCAGCAGGGCAGCAGAGGCTGGCTTTGGCTGATGAGCTCACCAGGTCAGGAGCAATGGTCATGGTCCTATTTTGGCCTAGGAGGAAACTAAGAAGCAGAGAGGAAGTGGCTTCTATGCTTGGGTGTCTTTCTATATATAGGTACACATACCACATACCAGTGGGCCTCTGAAGCCACGAAACTCCCGGGTCAACTGGCTTTGGGCGGGCTGCAGGACAGGGTGATAAAGGAGCAGATTACTGCAGAAGGGACAGGTGGCCCAGAGCTGCCCCACAGTGGGACAGCTTTTAGTATCATGTGGTTACTGCTCTGTTCTTTTACGGCAGCCAGAGAGAAACAAATCAGTGACACATGGTTCCCTTGCCTGTGCTTCTTTCTCTAGGACTCCAATGCCCAGCTGGAAGTGGGTATAAATAATGGCACAGAAGTTCCTCCACTTCCCATGAAAGGAATTAGACTCCTGGAGAGCACAGCTATAGAAGGAATCTAATAGATCAACCAATTGTTACCATGCTAGCCCACCGGTAGCATCTCCCTTGATGTGTGACCTTGGGCAAGTCCTTAACTGAGCATGAATGTCTTCATTTATACATGAGCTAATAACTAAACCTGTTCAGAAAAGTCTGTTCAGAAAAGCTGGTGAGCTAAATGGTTTACAAAATGCTAACCCCGGTGCGTGGAACACAGGAAAGCTCTTGGTAAAGAGTAGCTGAAAACCGAAGGTTATATCTATTAGTGGCACAGTTAGGAAATAAACCCAAACCCACTTCCTTGTCACTCACTTCATGGCCAGAGGGATCACCTCTGGATTTTCTTCTGCTGACCGCCTTTGCTGCTTGGCATGTATGCATGTGTGTTTGTGCATGCAGAAAGGGTCCAAGTAGAGTTGGTTTTATGGACTCCTTTCAGTTTCATCCTAAACAAGTATTTGTACTTGATATGTATTCACCTTTAGCTTTTGAGGAAATGGAATGGCTCAATACAGGGGTTCATAGGAATAAGTTGGTAGACAGACAAGTTTGAGGGAGAAAACTTAGGGTTCAGGAAAATGGAGAAGAATCAGAGGGAGGAAAAGATACTATAAGTCTATTCTTACCCCCAATTAATACTGAAGTGCAAATTTAACACTCAACTGTACAAGAGGTAAATAAGTAAACCATTATTTTCTTTGCATAGACTTAAGTGGAAAAGTCTAGTCCTGGGGACCTGTTTTGAAAAGTTCTGAAGAATAGCCCCAAGGGAGCCAATTGGAACTTTGGAGAAATGCCTGAGGGGATATCCATGTCCCCTTCCTTGAGGTATATGGACAAGTGTCTGCCACTCCCTGCTAGCTGCCTTCCAGTTGAAGGATGCACCCAGCAGGGCATCTTAGTAGGGAGTCAGGGCTCCTTGTCCTTAATCTCCTTAAATAATTTAATCAGACACTGGCCTAGACCCCAGCTGACATCTACCCAGGCATTTGGTAATATGTGTGGTAGGGGAGGGGTCAGTTGTCACATGTTTTATTGGCCAGAGATGTCCAACCCTCTCCAATGTACAGGACAGTCCCATATAGTAAAAAATATTACTACCCTGATTTCCACTCTGAATGTCAAAGTGCTCCAAGTTTTTCCTTTAGAAAACAGCTACCAGTTCCCATGTCCTTCAACCGCAGGAAAAATAGAACGGTTCCAGGAGCTTGGTTACCCCTGCCAACCTCAAGTCCCTCCCTGGATCCCCAAGCAATTAAGAATAAATGACATTTTTCATTCCCCCCCTCCCCCCCTTCTCCAAAATAAAAGCTTCCAAGACAGAATCAACATATAGCTCTCCAGACGTCCGCTTGCTCATATCAACATGAGGAACTGACAACAAGATTTCTCAGGAGGGCAGAGAAACATGCCTCTGGTATCATGGATGTCCTGGCATCCTAGAGGGCATAAGTGTGGAGGAAAGAAGGATACTTAGGGCCCACCAACTATACTATACAGCTGGATAGTGATTCTAGGCAACCTTCCAACAACTGGCCCAGAGATGGGATACAATCCAACCCTTGGTGACCTTCTGTGCTCTGGGACAACTTGATAGGCTGGTATAAATAGAAACAGCAGGCCTCAGGGGCCCAGAGAGGAGCAGGCTTAGCCATGTCTTCCCAGCAGTGGCTCCAGCCTGAGATTAGTGACTCTAACCTGGTTTCCTCCCTCCTTGAATTCCCTCCCTAAGTAAGCCAGTGGCCCACCTACCTGATAAAATAGCAGCAGAAAATGAGGCTGAGCATGAAGACAAAGATGCCCGTGCCGAAGATGACCATATAGATGTTGAGAGGAAGSTCTTGGAAACTGATGGGTGGCATGGAGCAGGACTTGTTAGTGCTAACCAGTCCCAGGCCACAAAAACACCCTGCAAAAGAAGAAGAAAAAATAATATTAGACTTGGAAATTTATCCCTGAGGGTGATGGCACACTGTGTCAGCTGGAATAGAGACAATAATGGCAGGCGAAGGCTCCTAAACCTCTGATTCTTTGGCTGGAGCTAATATCACAGCTCTCACTCTTACTAGCTTTTTATGATCTTGGGTAAATTATTTAACCAATATGCGAAATGGAATTCCATCTAAGGTACCCATAGGGATCAAGGATTTAGATCAAGGAGAAAATGGAAAACCCAGTTCCATCATGTAGAAGCTCATACACTGAAGAAGGGCCATAGGTGAGAAAACGAATTACTACCTGGGTTCTAACCCAACTCTCCCTAGCTAGCTGCACAACCTTTAAGAAGCCTACCTCTCTAAGCTTCACATGTCATCTAAAAACCAGCAAAATATAGAGAGGACTTAAAATGACAGTATAAGAAATAGACTTCATAAATTGCAAAGTGCAATTGCAAAGGTCATTTGTCATTATTAAGCCACCTGCTCCAGAAGACAAGCTGTGCCAGGACTAGAATAGAAATTGTTCACTCCAAGTCCAGGCCAGTGTTCCAGAAAGTGGAGATGAGGGTTGGGGGTGGGGAGCTGCAGCTTCCCTTACTGGTCCCTTATTCCGTCCTTTGTACTCAGTCTCATGGTACAGTTCCACTATGGAGATGGTACACCCTGGAAACTTGTTAGATGTGCAGAATCTTGGGCCCAGCCCAGGCTAAAAGAACTAGAATCAACATTTTCACAAGAGACTCAGGTAACTCTTCCAAACAGTTTGTCTGAGAAGCACTAAGTTAGTCACTCTGCTTCCCTTTTCACGTGGCTCAGAGATACATCCTGATTGGCTTTCCCATTGTGGCAATCATTTCCCTCTAGCTAGTATTTGGTGTTGACATGTTGACATGGGTATGTGAGCAGGTTCTGGGCAAAGGCACAAAGTTCTGCTGGGAAAGAAAAGCTTCTCTTTCTGTCATGTCTCCCCGGGCACCCAGAAGGGTAGGAGCCAGCTTGTAGCTGGAAAGAGAACTGATAGAAAGCTGATGGCTTAGAACAGCAGTAGGAAGGGAAAGGGGAGAATTCTTCAGTAACAAAACTTGGGACTGCTGTGTCCCAATTCCCGACRGCATTCTCATGATACCAATTTAAATTTATTTAYTTTTTAAACAATTGGGGTCTTACTATGTTGTCCAGAGTGGCCTGGAACTCCTGGACTCATGTGATGCTTCTGGAGACTACAGGGGTACACCACTATATGTGGCTTCCAGTTTTATCACTGGAATGCCACAGTAAAATGTCACTTTTCCCAAAAATGCGGAAAAAAAAACCTTAATCATTAAATAATCTCCCTAAAGTAAACAGCTAAGGAGCCCTAGCTCCTAAAGTCTCTACGCTCTTGGGTTCTAGGCATAGAGGCTTTAAGTTAGGAGTCAGGAATTGATAGTATGCTGTAGAATTAGAAAATACTAGTGCTAACACTACTCAGCAGAAGGTTGATTCCAAAGACTGGAAGTCAACTCTGACATGGTATATTTCATTCCTCTTCATCACCTTTATCCAAATCTCTTTCAGAGTGTACTGCTTCCTACTGCACATCTCTATTCCAAATACTCATTACTGACTAGTTGACTCTTAATTGCTCTCATTGCTGTTTCCAGTTTCATCTCATCTAATTTTCCCCACATGTCTACCACATCCACTCATTCCATTTATCGTGTACTTTCCAAATGCATGTCTGGTTTCAAGTCCTCTTAAACACGTCCTCTGTCCCTTTGCAATTCCCCAGTGTTTTCAACACTTCCACATATGACCATTCTCCTCACATTTTCTTGCCCAATCTTGTCCTCATCTGCATCTATACCTTCATTCATGCAGTCTTTCCTGCCTAGAACTCCCTCCTTCTTTCTAAAGTTCACCACCTGTTCTTTGTAATATTCCAAAGAGCTGTGTTGTCCTGAATTCTACAGTGCTCACAACCTGTATGGCTTATTCTGGCCCTTGCTCATTCTAGTGTTTTATATACTCATTTGTTTCTAGCATCAACTTAATTTAAGTATGCATTGAGCATTGATTATATAAGCACTAAGATAGTAAGGACAAAGAAGAGTGGAAGAATCATTGGACGATCTTACTCTATAGAAAAGCAGAGACACAAAGATTTTCATGGCATAAAGTTAGGTTTCACAGCAGAGGTGTGTCTAAGACTGAGAACCAAGACTAAGAGTCACCGAGAGTATAGTCCTAACAAGCCCAAATACTCCAAGTCTGAGGACATCGACATGAACTTTCATATATTTTTCCAGTGCCTAGCCTAGTCCTTGGCTTGTCTTGATAACTAGTTAATAGATAAATAACTCCCTGCTTTCTCAAAACAACCTGGTCCCCTTGGCAAAGCTCCTACTTGAAAGTAAGAAGATTGATGTTTGGGAAAACTGCCCAGAAAGTGCCCTCAGCCAATAAATCACCAGTCAACCAACAAGTATTGTTAAAGGCCTGCTTTATGCCCTGACCTAGACATTGTTTGAAAACAGAAAGCAAAAGAAGTTCTTGTTCTGAAGGACTTTTTAATTAAGGGGAAATTAAGGAAATAATTAGCTATTAAGCTTTGCTGTGTTCATTAGAAAGCCCCTTGCTTTTAGACTGCATGGGAGATTAGAAACTAAGACACTTTCATCACCCTTTCCCACTAAAATATTTGCTCTCCATGGGCTAAAGGATATCAGTTTTCTATGAGGAGATCATGCTAGACTGGCCTGAGAAAGCCAACCTTCAATCTATAGTGGCAAAGGGCCTTCCCTTCCAAAAAACTATATCTTCTTTTCAATGCTAATGAGGTGTTCTGCCCCACCCCAGTCTCTCACTTCTTAAGGTAGGAGAGGCCTTTGTGCCATTTCAATGACCCTTCTCTTTCTTTATTCTCAAACCTGTACCTTTTGCTCTGGCCTCAGYCATATCTGACACTAATAAGCTGTCTTAACTTACCCTCCTTCTATTTGCATTGGCTCTTCTGTGTTATCTTTCATGAGCTGAATCCTGGTATCTTTTGGGTCCCAAAGAACCTAATTTTGTTTCCTGTTCTGGGGACTTGCAAAGCTGTGGTAGCAACCATTGCAGAGAGTATACACATGTACCCTGAAGGCATTGTGGCCCCAGCAGTCCCATAATCAGTTTATCTCTTCCATCTTTTCCTGTCTCATAGAGGCTTTCCCTGGGGCTCCAGGACTAGGTTAGTGCAAGAAACTTGCAAAGAACAGAGATTGCTAGTCCCAGGTAATAGGAGTTCCAGCTGTTTTCCTTAGGGGTAGGGAAGACTGTTGCTTCCTCACTGGAGTCAAAGGACAGTATTAGTCAGCCACTTTAAGAAGTGAAAGATATGGGCTGGAGTGCAGTTCAGGGGTAGAGCTGTGCTTAGCATGAGCATCAGTCTTAGATTTAATACTCAGCAAGACGGGGGTGGGGGTGGGGGTGGGGTGGGGGGGTGTGTGAAAGGTTAAGCAAGTCCTTCCCAGTCTAAAATCGCATTTGAAAGGTAGCAGTCCAGAAGAAAGACCAGCGTTAACCACAGCCCCTGAGTTCTAAGTCTCTGTTCCATTGTTTCCGACAACCTATGAAAGCCTTGACATCAGAATGTCTCATCTCGGCTGGCAGGCTGAGAGCAAGAATGACGTCAGAGAAGGGCTGGCCAAGAAAGACCAGGGGATCTGGGAACTGCTTCTCCTTCCCAGCCAACGGGAATCTTTCCCAGATGCTGGGATGCACCGTCCTTCCTCAACCCCCATCCTCCGCCCCCTCTCCCACATTACCCGCCCATCACACACGGCTTGGTTCATTTTCAGGAAATTAGATCCGACTAGCAAAAGGAGGAAGAAGGGGGATGGGGGACACTCATACACATGCTGCCCAAACCCGGCCTTAAAACAAAAGCCTCTTGAAATAATTAATCCAAGATCTGGCAGGAGTCTACTCCCAAGAATGGATCTTTTCCCCCCTCCTAACTAGCCAGGCTGCCACACTCAAAATAAGGCCAGCTGCTTCCCACCTCCTTCTAGACTCCCGCTACCCCCACTCCCAGAGTCGGAAAAACGCGGTCAAGATTGTAGGACCCCTGGGGGAAGGGTGGGTGAAGGTTGGTATTTAAAAGTGATTTGCTCAGAAGTCTTCCTTCCGGCCAGTTTCAGTGAGAAATTCAGACCCAAACCTAATCTGTATCACCTGAACCGCCAAAAAAGTCTCAGGTGAGATGAACTAACTCAGCAGCCTCAACCAGGCCTGGATGGGGGGGATGACGGGTGGGGGGGCTGGGTCTGGAGGTGAGGTCACCAGCCAGGCTCGGGAACAGACCGCAGAGCCTGGCCTTGGGGCCAGAAAGCAGAGCTCCTGCTAGGCCAGCCTCCTACCACAGGAATAGCTGGGAGCGGAGGTATCTGCAAGACTTTATTCATTCAGTAAAGCGAGACTCTCATCCATCGTCTTCCACCGGCCGAGTCCCACTAGCAGCCAGTGGGAACCCAACAAAGAGAGAGGAAGTCACCCCCGCGCCTGGTCCCGCACGCTGCACTGTATACATATTTAAAATAGCCTGCAAAGTTTCAGACCGGGCACTTGAGCTCCCTCTAGGAGAACCTAGCCCGAGCGTGGATTTCATTCTCCAACCACCACAACAAAGAACAGAGTTGGAGCGCACAAAGGCAGGGGAAGGGGGCAGAAAAGCCGAATCGCCACACAAAGGCTGGGAACCACTTGGCTCCCACGCCCCTGGGCTGCCACACTTTCGGAGACCCCTTCCAAGCCCTCGCGTTCCAACTGGATTGTTTCAAATTCCGCGCTGTGCACCGCAGACTTGGACACCGGGTCGTCTTCTTCGCCGTCCCACGGCAGGAAAAAACTTAACTCGAGAGCTAAGACGAACCCATCGGACGTTCAACCTGGCGCCCCCTTGGCGTCTGCGGCCAGTCCAGAGTCCGCTCGCCTTCCCGCCCCGAGACTCACCGTTACACCACTGGAATGGGTGCATCAATGAAGTCTGGGCGGGCCTTCTCGGGCGAACGAACGCAGGCGGAGGGGAGGGCAGGCGGATAGGGCGCCGCGCCTAGCGGGTCCGCAGGAGTGGCCGGTGCAGTGTGCAGCAGCCAGCCGCTTTTCTCGAAAAGTCCAACTCCCTCCGGAGTCGGGGGGCTGCACTAAGGACGGTTTTCAGAGCAACAAAGAGGAAAGAGGAGGAAACAAACAGAAACTCTCCCGGAGCAGAAGCACAGAGGAAATGCACGAAGGGCTTCGGGTGGCGGGAGATGCGGAGCGATGCAGAGCCAGGAGGGAGTGCCCAGACGGCAGCAGCTCCCAGCAAAGACTTTAGCGGGAAGCTAGGCTCGAGTTCCACCGTGCGAAGGAGAACCAACTGGAATTCCGAAACTGACACCCGGCTACTCACACCCCCTGCCTAATACTGCCCCCTCCCCCCGGCAAACCCCGCCCCCTGCTCGTCACCTTTCCTCCGGCCAATGAGAGACTTCCTCCTGCCCCCGGGTATGATTTGCAGGCCCGGCCCTTTCCCCTGAAGCTAGGGCAGCATCTTTTCTAGGTGGGTGTCTGCCGGCCCTACCTTGCCAGACCTCCCTGGGACTCCGGTCCTAACACTAGTGAGCTGCTCAGTGCGTCGCCGGAGGGGGCCGGCTTCCTCCGAGTTGGACCTGGAGGAAAAACTGAACAATTAGTGCCACGTTGTTTTCCGCCTCCAGATCTGTTACTATTTAGCATTTCTATAGCTGTTTGAGAAGCTAATCCTGGGGAATAGCTCTACTTAAGCTCCTTGGGTTTGGACCTGGTCTTAGGTGGCAGAAAGCACAGTCCTAGGTTCACTTCAAAAAGGGACAAATGAGGGAAGAGGGTAAAGCAGACGGATACAACTGAGATTTGGAAAGGGCTTTCGTTGTCATCCTACTTTTTGGCCAGCGCCTCATTTTACAAACAAGGAATCAAGGCCCGAACCTTAAGGCAGATGACTTGGCAGGGTTGCACTCTCCTGATTAGCAGAATCAAAACCAGAAACTGGCACCGTCGATGTCTTAAGGACAGGAATCCCCAGCTTCTAGCGCCCTGTAGGTGTTGAATGAACAGTAGTTGACGGACGGAGTCTCTCAATTCTCCATCCACTATTCTTTCTGACGCTGCATCACTTCTTCCTGGTTTTGTCTGTCTTTCCACTTTTCATTTTTCAGAGAAAGTATTCGCCGCGAGCCTACTGTATGCCAAGCACCATTGGCACAAGAGCACCATCAATGTTGTCAGAGACAGCAGATTTCTGCTCTCCTGGGGATTACAGTGCAAGTGAGGGGACAACAAGCAAGCAAGCAAACAAACAAGAATGTCTTTATCTTCCTGTGAAACCTCCCTATCCAGTCTGTTAATTGGAGATGAATACTTTATCTAACTCCTGGGAATTCCTGACTCCCAAATAAGCTTAGGCATATGAATGCTTTGTCACTTCAAAGTATGATCCTTAAGGTATCAAATGTCTGTACCAACATCACAGATCAGTCTGGAACAAATAGTTTTCCCTTTCCATCTGTGGGGGATCAGTTTCAGGACTCCCAAGTATACAAAAATCTTTAGATGCTCAAATTCCCTACATAAATTGCTGTGCTATTTGCACGTAAGCTATGCACAAATTCCCCTATATTTTAAATCTTCCCTCTAATATTTGCATAAGATATGGAAGATTGCTTAATGGACATARAACACTTGTTTTTACTTATGAGCTAATCTGGAGGAGCATCATGTACTGATCTAACTCTTTTCATTTTTTAACAGGGCAATTGCAAAAGCTTCCTATTGATCTCTCTCATTCTAGTTCTAGTCTCTGACTTTGGAGCCCATAAGAATCACTGATGGTAGACATGTAACATTTATAGATTCCCAGGCCTTGAGTCCAGAAATTTTGTCTCAGTAAAGAGTGGGTCCCAGAAATCTTCATTTTGATATACTTCCCCCCCCCAGAATTTTCACACAGCTATTGAGAGAAATAATGCTCTTATTATATATTCTCGAATCCATTCTTTCCAGGGTTTTTCTAAAATGTATTTCCTTTGCTTAATAACTTTTACCGGTCTCTGGTGTTTTTGAAATACAGCATGRCATTCAAAGCATTTCAGTCTAGTCTTTGCCTGTCTTCCCAATACTCTTCTCCCCATGCACTATTCATCAGTTTTGAAGCTTTTTGTTATTATTGTTCCTTGTACATAGTATTATTTTTTCCTGACTGTGATTTTAGACGTGATATTGCTTCTGGTTGGAATTTTCCTTCTGTGCCTGACAAACACATTAAGGTTCAGCTAAAACTTCATGTTTTCTGTGGTCTGCTATTTTCCCTTTCTGAATCTGTTTTAATACTTCATATATATAATGTAGTGTGCTATAAGATTATAAAGTTGAGTATGTGATTGCCGGAGTTTGATTTCTCTATGAGCCTGCCTCAAGAAATTTTTCAAGGGCACAGACCACTTTGTTGGTTCTAGTATCTGGTTTAGTAAGTGCTTATAATGTGTGCATACATATAAGTAACCATGTCATTTAAGCCAGGTTGTTGATGCAGCCTAGAGGTTTAAAAACTGTGTAGAGCCAGGCCTCATGGTATGTGATCTAATTGCAAGTTCAAGGCCAGCCTGGGCAACTTAGCAAGACCCCATCTCAAAATAAAATAAAAAGGGATGGGGGTATAGCTGAGTGGTAGAGTGCTTCCCTAGTATGTGTGAGGCCTGGGATCCATCCTTAACAGAAAGAGAGACAGAGAGGGGGGAGGGAGGGGAAGGAGAAGGAGGGAGGGAGGGAGGGAGAGGAAGAGGGAGAAGAGAAAAGGAAAAGAAAGGAAAGGAAAAAAATCTGTATTGTTTTATTCCAATGACATGATGTTCTGGAAAAGGCAAAACTCTAGAGAAAGTAAAAATCTCAGGGGTGTTCAGGGGTTGGTGGGAAGAAATGATTAGGTGGAAATWGGAAGATTTAAAAGTTAGCAAAATACTCTGTATGATACTATGATGGTGATTACATGTCATTATGCATTTTTCCAAACCAATGAAATGTACAACACCACAAGAATRGGCGCTAATGTAAAATATGGATTTTGGTTAATACTGATGTGTCAATGTAGGTTCATCAGTGGTAACAAATATACCACAACGTGAAGGGTCCTAATGATGGGTAAATTGTACATATGTGGGGACAGAAGGTGTATAGGAATTCTCTGTAATTTTCCCTCAATTTTGCTGTGAACATAAAACTGCATGAAAAAATGAAGTTTATTAAAAACTCAAATGTGTGTAATGTTTACTTCTATGATTTTTTTTCTCTTCATTGCCTCAGGGTGAAGTGAATTAGGTTATTCAAATTTTGTTAAGACTTTCTGCTAGGTACTCCTAGCACAAAACTGTGAAAGAGGAAGGGCCTTTGAAGAGAAAATTGACAGGAAATGAGGAAGACCTTTCTATCCCACTCCCTTTTAGAATGAAAAGAGGCTCTGTGGGAACACACCTTGAAGGTAGGAACAAGGGAAGTTCTTTGGAGACGGAGCCAGTTAGTCAAGACAGTGAACGTGTCAGATCACACACACATAAACCATGGCTACAGTCATCAGATAGGATGTTCTATAATGATTTATACTTTATGACTAACATTTCAAACATCCAGTAAGCTCTCCTGAGGCACTTAGAGATTCCAGTTTGGAAAAAGTGTCATATTTCTGCCCAAGGTCCCACCCCGTTCCCTCCTGCGCCAGTGTAGTCACAGTATAATATCTCAGATAATGGCTTGGATTGAAAGATGTAGGCTGGCCAAAGAGCTAAGGTCTTGGGCATTTTTGAAAATGTTGGTTCACTAGAAATTAATCTGTGCTAATACAGCCAACTAATCCCTTCCATCCCCAGTGCTGAGGGTCAAACCTAGCACCTTGTGCATGATAGGCAAGAGCTTTACCACTAAGCTACTCCCTCATCCCCAGCCTCAGCCTGCTGATTTTTGACAGAGGCACCAAGAACATAAAAACAACAACAACAACAACAACAACAACAAAACAGTATCTTCAATAAATGGTGCTAGAAAATTTGATATGCAAATGAAGAAAAATGAAACTAGATCCCTTTCTTTAGATGTACATAAAAATCAATTCAAAATGAATCAAAGACCTAACTATTAAACCTGAAACTATGAAGTTTCTACAAGAAAACATGGGAAAAACACTGCAAGACATAAGCATMGGCAGTGATGTTTTAGATAGCACCCCAAAGTCATAGGTGACAAAAGTAAAAATAGACAAATGGGATTCGCCAAACTAAGAAGCTTCTGCACAAGGAAGGAAATAACCAATAGAATTAAGATTCAATCTAGAGAATGGGGGAAAATACTTGCAAACTCCTCATTCAACAAGATTGTACTTGACTGACATAAAGTATATGATTGTCATCAAGTATATACGTGGAACTAAAAAACCTGAGCACCAAATAATCCAATTTAAAAAAATGGGCTAAAGGGCTGGGGATGTGGCTCAAGCAGTAGCATGCTTGTCTGGCATGCTAGGGGCGCTGGGTTCGATCCTCAGCACCACATAAAAAGAAAATAAAGATGTTGTGTCCACCGAAAACTAAAAAATAAATATTAAAAAATTCTTTCTCTAAAAAAAATGGGCTAAAGAACTAAAAATATACTTCTCAAAAGAAGACATATAAATGACCAACAATACATGAAAAAATACTGTTTTGCTAATCATTGGAGRAMTGTAAATCAAAACCACAATGAGATATCATCTCACCCCAGTCAGAATACCTATCATCAAAATGGTGAAAACAATAACAAGAAATGGCAAGGAGACAGAGAAAAGGGAACACTTATACAGTGTTGGTGGGGATGTTAACTAGGACACCCTTACGGAAAACTAAAAACAAAAACAAAACTAAAAATAGAGCCAGTAGTTTCACTACTAAGTATATGTCCAAAGAAGATGAAATCATTATACCAAAAAGATATTTGCTCTCCCAACTTTATTACGGTCCTCTTCAACCCTATGCCCTTCAGTGGATGAACGGATAAAGAAAGCARTATATTTACACAATGGAATCCTATTTGGTCATAAAATAATGTAGTCCTATAATTTGCAGCAATATGGAWGGAACTGGAGGCCATTATGTTAAGTSAAACAAGTCAAAAACAAAAAGACAAATATCACATATTTTCACTCATTTGTAGGAACCAATAAGGCAGCCTTGTTAAGGRATGAAATGGAGGGCTGGGGTKGTGGCTCAGCGGAAGAGCACTCACCTAGCACGTGTGAGGCACTGAGTTTGATCCTCAGCACCACATATAAATAAATAAAATAAAAGTATTGTGTCCACTACAACTAAAAAAAAAAAAAAGAATGGAATGGAATAGTGGACATTAGAGACTGGGAAAGGCAGGGGACACCAAAAA